TGGAGGAAGCCTTGAGGTGCGCGGCGGCCCTGACCTGTCGGTGGAGACGGGGGGCTCTTACCGAAGCCGAGGCTGTGCGGGGAGAGCGCGAGGTCAAGTAGAGACGTGGGGTGGTGCGTTTCAGAGGCCGTTGCCAAGCACTAAAAAAGATCTTTGTCTCCAGGGTGTCTGTGTGCGCACAGATGAGGTAGCAATGAAAGGTTACCGTGAGCATGACAGGAGCAGTCATGCTGCTGCACCTGACCAATGATGCGCCAGGATTTGATCTATTCTCTTGCTGGAGACGGAGGAAGGGAATGAGATAATAAATCACAGCACACGTCAGGGCAGCTGTTGCATGGCTGCTCATACATGTGCACTCATATTCCCACATTTCTTTGAACACCTGTTGCGGAGATATACATCTTTTTGACCTGATCTTTAAACCTCTAAGCACTCATTAGGCGGAGTAAGATTTCTACGTGGGTGTTGTTGTTTGGAGTTAGTGGATTCCTCCAGTTACCCATTTAAGCCCGAGGGCAATAACCTCATCAAACATTGATGTCTCAAGAAATCATTGCCTTTGCTGGATTCAATATCTGTATCTTCTAAATTGGTCTCATTTATATACATATATTCACAGGGGGAGACAGGCATGACGCCAAACCATCAAAACTGATCACATGATTCTCAGATCAAAGCTGCAGGATTCTTGGTGTGAGCGAGCTGTCCACGCTGCAGCGTGTGCGTGCAGGATGAAGATGCAAGCTCATTAGAAGGAATCATATCCCATAATGCTCGATTTGGCGTTGCCATAGAGGTGTGTGTGGACCAGTGAGAAGAGCCAGGGAGATGTAGCACATTGAGTTATTTGAGCATGTATCTGTTCCTGTGTGTTTTGCACGTTGTGCAGCCTGGAAATTCTTTTGAGCACAGTCCCCCCCCCCCCCCCCCTTGTATCGAGAGGTAGATAGAGAAGCTTGGTACATCACATTCCTTTAAATGGCAAGGAGCCAATGGCTAGGTCCTGTGTAAGCCTCATGTTTAAAGTGCACTGCACATCTTTATGCAGGTTGTCAAAGGTCAGCGTTTATTATTGATAGTGCCAAACATTAGCATGCACGCAGTGTTGCCTCCCATTGTATTCACCGGAGGTTTTGACACCTGAAGGAGCGGTGGATGGGAGGGGGGGGGTCAGTGAAATGGGAGTATTGTGCACCACAGGTGAAAGGCAGTGGGTGTGTGGTTGACTGAAACGAGGGCTGTGAGAAAATAATGCATAATGGTGCCAGTGACTTTGAAGTGGTAGAGTTCCAAATCAGGTCTTTATAGAGGGCAAGGCCTGAATTCGCTGCTCTGATCATATCTTTGAAATCGAGGTATTTAAAGTGCTATATATTCTTTCTTTTTTTTCACAGTCAAATCTATTTCAATAATAGCTTTTTCAGACATTTCTTTTTCTTTCTACCACCCGATTCCATCTCTTATTTTTTGCATTCAAAGCCTCAGCTATCACTTTCCTCCCCAGATTTCCTAATTGACTCAAGAGCAGATGAATGGGACAGTTTTGCTGTAAAAAAAAATGTTCACCGATTATTTTTTTTTTTTTATCCCCGAGCATCGACAAACGTCATCGCGGCCGACTAAATGGTGGAATCATGATGTGGTAATGAAGAAAACACATACTAGTGCGTTAAGTGGTGCTGCCAGAGTCATTAAAGAGGATTGATGAAGGCCAGTCATCCCTCCATGACTCCAGGCCACAGAGTGGAAAAAGAGACACTACTTAAGTACATCTGCTCCACTCTTTATCTCCTCTCTTTTTTTTTTCTTCCCTCTTTTCTCATCACTTTCACCACACACACAAACAGCCTCCACCACGAGATTGCTCTATTATCTCAATCTCTGTGTTGCTCTTTAGAGCTCCAATAAGCCAGTGGCTGCTCGTAGGAAATGGAAGTACCTACAAACACTGCTAAATATCCTCAATTTGGCAATTATCTGCAATGTTGCTGACAACCAAGCTGCCCTAAATAATAATACAATGGAGCATGACACTTCTGATAGCACGGACATGTTTTTTTTCACAGCCGGTTACCTAATCTGGAGATGTACCGCCTTCATTATGTTCTCTTTGCATCGAAGTCAGTTGGTGACAACCTCCACGGGAAGTGCACATGTTCCTGATCTCGTTTTGTGTTATTCCACTAAAGAGAAAAAGTTCCGACTCTTTCTCCCATCCCACTTCTCCCTCTCTGTCTCTCTCTTTCTGTCTCTCGCTCCCTCTCGTTTGCATTGAAGTCCAAGCAATTGCTGGGGTTTCTTTTCATGAGCCCCGGTTCAGTCGCTTTGGCTTCTAAGCTATGCAAATGCATTCTGCCAGTGAAACTAAAGCCGTCTTTGTTGGTTCTCAGAGGCCTCCTCCACAGAGTCCTTCATCATTCCCTTGGATCGGGACCCTCACATTTCCCACCGTAATGAGACCACGGATAACTCTATCTCTTCTCCTCCATGCCTCCCTGCCCGTCTCTCTCTCCTCTGCCTGTCTCTCTCTCCGCCCCCCCCAAGAGTAGCGGAGGGATGTCTACAGTATATGCGCTTCTATCAGAGCCAAATAAGGATATACAGCTGGGTACGTCGTAGAGGAAGTAATTCGTTGCAGTAGAAGAAAAGAAGGGGCTTCAGACAGCACCAACTTAATCATACTGAATGTCAGCTCTCTTAGGACAGAGTCCTCTGAGACTGGCTCTGAATATACACTGCAGAGACAATGTTTTAACTTGAAGTCGGAAGCACTCCTGCTGTGCTCAGTATTCACTGGATAGTCTTTCACACTTTTACTTTAACACTCTTAATACAATGCGATTAAGGTGAAACAGCTGTTTTTCACTGTGATCAATTTTGGAAAGCGAACGTCAGGTTGGCTCGAAGTTCAAATTTAAGGGTACTACACCAAATGAGTACAGGCATTTAAGTGGTGAAAATGAGGCAACAGAGGCTATCCTGATGTTTGGTCAACGGTTTGAGTTGACATCCAAAAAACACTGGATCCTACATTACCCATAATGCAGCCAATAGCATCATTTCATTTGACCCTCCCTGCCTGCAATCTCCAACCTCAGGGTTATTTTCTCAGGCTTTACAAAGCCACCGAAGAAATGATAGAACTACCTTCACGAGCTGAGTCATACATTCTCATCTGTGTAACATCAGTGAAGTGCCCTTTTAGTTTGAGCACTGTGACTTCCTGTTTAGCTGCGAAGCAGAGGTCTGAGAGAGGTTTATGCGAGGTTTGTGTCTTTGTTGCAAGGGGGACACTCTCCACTGGAAGGATGCCACTCGCAGTCCTGCCCTCTCGCTGCTCCCCTTTAGCTACTGTGGAAGATGTAGCTGTGTGTAGTTTGGCAGTAGGCAAAATGGAGCAGTGGGCTTTATGGTATGCATAGTACAAAGCAGAGATAGAGTCGTGCGCAGCTGTGATAAATGGAATACATTTTTCTTGATGGTTTGTGTTCCAAAAAAAAAGAAAAAGGTATTATGTAGCTTTTGCTACTTTGCACACATCATGAACAGCTGTAATACTTGTCCTCCTTCTGCTGTGAGGATTTGGATGATTTAAGGAACACAATTTACCTCTGGATCATTCAAGGCCAAATCCCCACCGTGGACCAAAGAAGCTTATTGTAACCTGGCTGGCTGCTTCAACTGTTAAGCCCACATCCCCAAACCCTGAGCTACTTGTCCCGCTCCGTACAGTGCTGCGGACAGAAAGCTGCTCCTAATGATCTCGTAATCATTCATTCATTAAATCCTGTCCTGGTGCACGACTAGGCCGCCCTTCTGCCCCCGTTTATTTAGAATCAAAAGCAATTCTGGACTCGGAATTAAGTGTAGTAACCCGATATTTTCTCCTCTGTCTTCAGACATTCTGATGAAGCGGCCATTCATCATCTGGGGCATTAAAAACATGATTTAAATCTTAAATGTCACCCTTGGTCTTGCTGAATTACCTTGTACAGCAGCAAGACTTTTATCTGTCGTGATTTCATTTCATGTGTTAGTGTTAATATCCTCAGGTTGCCAGACACGAGGACCAACCTGAATGAATTAAAGCAACAACATCTTGCTTTAAAGGAACAGTGTGTAGCACTTAAGGGGATCTATTGGCAAAAATATAATATAATATGAATAAGTACTTTTAATTTAGTGTAGAATGAGCTGACGGAGCCCGGCATGTTGCGCCGCCATGTTTCTACAGTAGCCCAGAATGGTCAAACCAAACACTGGCTCTGGATGCGGCCA